AGTAACATGTCAGATAACCAATACAAGAAACTACAAATTTTACAAAACAGAGCAATTAAAATTGCACACAGACTGCCGAGCTACACACCTCAAGAATACTTACACAACATTACCAAGTTACCAACAATCAAAGATCACTTTACCCAACTTGCCACGAAATTTTACAGAATAGCCTAAAATAGGAACACATAGACCAAACAGTTCAAACAATTAGCTGTAACATCAGAAACTTGGAACACACACACATATCACCATTCAACTACATAAACAGCCTAGAAAACACATAAAACACTCACCAAGTAACTGAAAGAAATTTATTTTTCAGCTTTGGGCACTGGTCAGGTAGATTATTCGGCACCTGACCAGCGAAAGTGGGTTTTCTCGGGGTACTCCCGTTTCCCCCCACAGCAAAATTCTGAAAATTGGACCACGGTCCTCCTCCTAGCCCTGAAAAGGACCAAGAGACGGCCTCCTCCCCCACCCAAAAATTTTAGCCCTAGTGCTTTATCCCACCCGACGCTTCCTCGAAGGCGCCGCTGCCTGATTTTCTAAGTTTAATGTATGCTCCAGATCCGGTCAAACCAAATCCAGGACAAACTATAATACTTACGAATATGTACATCCCTCACCAAGCAGTGGGGTTGAAGAGAAGCGGAAAAAAGCTTCTGAACACCCCTGGTTGTCCTCAAACACGTTGAGGTTGAAAGGACATAACCAAAATTACCACCCAGGGTAAAAGAATAAGAAAGTTACCATAGCATATATTAATGATATAAGTATTCTTCCTTATCACCATATTTGAACATCAGAGTTGTTTTATTTTTAGAAAAACAGTACTGTTGATGCTTTCTTGCTCATGAGCGTGAAGGTAGGAATCCTTGCTACAAAATCTCACCGAAACCCTATTCTGTTTTTTAACCTCCTATAATGAAATCACTTATCTGTCTTAAACATTTGTCAATAGAAGTGGTTTTATTGCTTCTTGTCGCGAATCAATAACAAAATTCACTTTTCCATTTCTCGGATAAAAAATAAATATGAAGAAATAAGTTATCACTTTTCAAGAGAGTTGTTGATACGTGTCTAGTTACACTGAATTTAATTTGATTTCCGAGACAGCTTCACAAGAACGTGTGGAATGTAAGATTTCCTTGTTGGTGTTTTTCAGACGGTTGCGACAACAAGAGATGTGAATACTACGCTGTGTGCGAGAGTACTGGAAACGGAAATGCCAAGTGTGTTTGTCCTCAGTCTTGTGTCCAGGTGCTTACTGTCGTTATTTTTATCTAAGCCTAAACGTGTTTTCGCTATAACATATAAACAAAATGAATCTGTGTTAGATTAAACTTTGCAATAAAGAAACAAGGCTACCCAGGTAAGAAATGTCACAAAGAAAGATGAAATATTTGAAAGTACATGTTCTTTTGTTTTTGTTAGATGTTTGATGATATGTCGTGCATTTCGCTGACGCTTAAGAATGGCCGTTTCTTCCGAACTGAACTATGAAGAACGTACGGCATTGAAAAAATAAGCTTAGATTTTATCCTATAGGAAACGTTGTGTTAGAATATTTGACATAATAAGTTATTTGGACTTGAGGTAATCTAAGTACAAAACTAGTTTTGAAGTCTGATTATTGTACGTTATATATTTTAAAACTTTATCACAATAAACGTGAATATGCGTTACTGTGCTTGTATAGAGCTATAAAAATTCAATAATGTTTCAGAACATTAAATATGAAATTCAGTTGTTGGTACATTAACTAAATATTCTTTGTATTTGAAAAACATCAAAGGAACAGGTGACTAGAGGTCACCTTGAAGATTTAGTATCTGATGAAATAAAACATTGTTTAATAACATGTAACGACATAAATAAACTCTGATAAAATAAAACATTGTTTAATAACATGTAGCGACATAAATAAACTCTGATAAAATAAAACATTGTTAATAACAAGTAACAACATAAATAAACTCTGATAAAATAAAACATTGTTTAATAACATGTAGCGACATAAATAAACTCTGATAAAATAAAACATTGTTTAATAACATGTAGCGACATAAATACACTCTGATAAAATAAAACATTGTTTAATAACATGTAGCGACATAAATAAACTCTGATAAAATAAAACATTGTTTAATAACATGTAACGACATAAATAAACTCTGATAAAATAAAACATTGTTTAATAACATGTAGCGACATAAATACACTCTGATAAAATAAAACATTGTTTAAAATCAAGTAACGACATAAATAAACAAACAACCAGACAATTGTCTGTTTAATGAGCCCCCAGTGGTACAGCGGTAGGTCTGCGGACTTACAACTCTAGAATCCGGGTTTCGATACCCGTGTTGGGCAGAGCACAGATAGCCCATTGTGTTGCTTTGTGCTTAATTACAAACACAAACAAACAAACTGTTAGATTAAAATATAGTTTTTTCCAAAAGTAAAACAAAGACCGATAACGTTTTAATGTAGGTTATTCCGTTCCGCATGGCTTACCATGTTAGGTTTGGTTTATTCCGTTCCATGTGACTTATCCCTATCCGCGTGGCTTATCCTTATCCGCATGGCTTATCGCTTGTGTGTTTTATCCCGATTTATGTGGATTATCACAACCTTGTTCGAAACAAAATTAACAACTTCAATTTGATATCTTTATATCATATATATGTCATACTGAAACATGAACACTGGCCTGTAACTGTTGTCATACTGAAACATGAACACTGGCCTGTAACTGTTGTCATACTGAAACATGAACACTGGCCTGTAACTGTTGTCATACTGAAACATGAACACTGGCCTGTAACTGTAGTGATAATGAAACTTGAACACTGGCCTGTAACTGTTGTC